TATAAAAAAACCCACAAAGCCTTTGGCATGTGTCTTATATATATTGAGCACTTAGTAAATATTTGTGAGGTGTGAATGAAATATAATGAGAGGAACAAGTAAGTGTACAGGATTTGAGAACAAATGTGTAGGTGGAAATAAAAGTCATGGAAACCTTGGTAAAAATGAAAGACATGGGGCTGACATTTCACCTACAGAAAGCAATTTTATTCATAATAATATCTTGATTTATAGTCTCCTGATAAGGAACTTTCGATTTCTTACATAAACATTTTGTTCATTTAAAATAATTGTGAAAATTCCAGGAGAGAAATGAAATCAGAATATCTAAACCAAAACTTTTTCAACAATTTTTATGCTTTTATGTATCAGTTAAAAATGAAAAAATATTTTTAAAGTAGCAGTATTATTTGTACCCAATTAAATGATCAGATTTATGTGCTGAAATATCTATTCTTATTTTTTTTCCTCTCTCTCTCTCATTTGTCCTCTATTTTTGGTAACTAGGCCCATATTAGGAGTGAAGTAACTTTTCTGACTGCTTGATACATCTAACCTACCTATTTCTGGCTTTCATAGATTTGAGGTGAATAGCCTTTGGGTCACTGAAAGATGTTGGAGGTATGATGTGTTGGAAGTATGGTGTTTTGGAAAATGAAACACAAGGAAAGAAGAGGAAAATTCCTGAAAGTGTTAGTAGAACAGGATTTGCCTCCCTCAAAGACTTGATTCAAAGCCTCTTTGCTTCTCCTTTTCTTTATAGTCTTTCTCTCTTTTTCTCCTTTAAGATATAGCAGAAGATTGAAAAGGAATGCAAAGTAGACCACAGAAAGATGATAAGGAGCAGTTATGTAAAACTGGGATGAAGCAATGCTGAGACACCACCACATGAATCCCATTCTCCCACTCCCTACTCTGAGGTGGAAAAAGTCTGTGTGATCCCATACAGGTATGAAGCCTTGAAGAGAGACCCCTTACCCTCTTTCACTACCACTTTAAGGAGATGAGATAGGCAAATATGCGTTAAGTTGTATTTAGGCCTCAAAGTCCTGAAAAGCGTGCATTTCCGGTAGGGCAAGACAGTCTCAGGGAGAAATTTTTCAAGTGTACAAGGTCAAACTACTCTGGAAAGTAACACAATAAAGTATTTGCCTAGGCTTGTGGAACAATCTGCATTCATTCACACCAGAGATGATGGGGGAGGTTCAAGGGCCTCCCACACTGGAAACTTGTGCTTAAAGATTTGGCATCCTGAGAACTTATCCAGATTAGCGGGAGGAAGTCTAACCCTACAAATGTGCTGCTGTGAGAATTCTTCATACACATGGCACTCCTGTTGAGAGTGTAGCTGGCTGCACGTGTGACAGCCAGATGGCCTATATGTTCACTCAGGACATGAGGTGGTAGAGACAGGAGAGAAGATAGGTCTGCCTTCCTACTGCGTACTGACTTCACATTAGTGAGATCAAACTTATCTATACAGGAATTTGCTTTTAATAGCTCAGAGCATCATGTATTTTATTGTTGAAATCCAGAGTATATTATTTTTAAATTATATATACCCTCATCTCTCCCTTTTCTCAAAAGAAACAAATCCATGTTAAGATGAACTACCAGATTTAAATCCCAACATTTTTATTACTTTGTAATGATTTTAAAAGTGAAGATAGGATACAAATCTTAAATGCATAAGTGAAATATTTCTTAACACTATGGTAGACTACAAAAATGCTCTCAAACATAAATCTTCTTTCTAAAAGCTAGCACTTCAATTGATTCAAAATATAATTGATCGAAAATTTAAAAAGGAATACAGAGTTGAGGCACAGGAAGATCTTCAAGGTTCTTCTGAATCACTATTGATAAAACTGTATTTAGCCTTTTGAAAGCCAACAAAAGGAAATAATGCACAATGAAAAAAATAAATAGATGTAGCATTTTTATGTAGCAAAAATAATTAACAGTATTCAATGCTTTGGCCCGGGAATAGATAAGATTTAGCTTGCCTAGAATACTTGTTTCCTCTCCCATCCTCATCTTTGACAGCTAATCATTTCCTGCATTAACATTTTTTTTTAGGTTTTTTTTTTTTGAGAGAGAGAGAGAATTTTTTAATATTTACTTTTCAGTTATCGGCAGACACAACATCTTTGTTTGTATGTGGTGCTGAGGATAGAACCTGGGCCGCACGCATGCCAGGCGAGCGTGCTACCACTTGAGCCACATCCCCAGCCCCTGCATTAACATTTTAAATTTGGACTGAGGATGTAGCTCAAATCACTTGCCTAGCCTGCATGAGTCCCTGGGTTTGATACCCCTACACTCCACCCAATACCACCAAAAAATAATACAAAATTAATAAAAAAATTTCTGAACTCCTTCACTTGGCCTCTCTCATTACATTCCTATCCACACTCCAAATGTAGCTCCAACTACTTCCTTACATGAAAGCTCTGTCCAAAGTAAACTACTCTATTCATGGTTTCTTGAACACAAATTCACATTCTTTCTAGTTTCATAATTTTCCCCTTTTACTTCATTAAAAAGGTTGTCCCCTTTCTTGAATATGTAGTTTAACTGCTACCTCTTCATGAAGCCTTTCCTAACCATCTCCTCACTAAAAGATTTGTACACGTTCAGATCCTCCTGGAACATTTTCTTCCCTGATCTCCTCGAACAAGTTTTGTCTGTACTACAATTTGCTAATCACTTTGTTCCTCCTTCTGTTCATTTGATATACTGTATATATTTACTGTATGAGCCTCTATTCAAGTCAGATATAACATACACTATTTTTATCCCCAGAAACTACAACCAAAAAGAACTCAATTAATACTGTTGCTGATAAAAAGTAACATGCAAGCTGGTAGTAGTGGCTCACCCCTATAATCCAAGTGACTCAGGAGGAAGAGGCAGGAAGATCACAAGTTCATGGCCAGTCTGGGCAATGTTGCAAGACTCTGTCTTAAATTTAAAAAAAGATCTTTTCTTTTTTTCTGATTTAAGGAAGAATATAAACATCTTTCATGATTAAATATGATTTTTAGCTCTAGTATGTTTGTAGGTGTATTAATTCGTTTTTTTGTTACTGTAATGAAATACCTGAGGCAGACTACTTATTTTAAAAAGAGGTTTATTGGGGTAGGGGTGTAGTTCAGCTATAGAACATATAGTTGGCATTCATGAGGCCCTATGTTCCATTCCTAACACCAAAGAAATAAAAAGAAAAGAGGTTTATTAAGCCCACAATTATGGAGGCTGAAAGTCTAAAGTCAGGTACCATTGATTTGACCTCTGGTAAAGGCCTAACTATGGATAGCATCATGGCATGAGCACCTGTGAGGGAGAAATCACTTTAGCAGAGGGAAACTGGTATCCCATAATCTCTTCCAAGGGCAGAGATTTTTATATACTGATAATCTTTTATTTTTTTCTATTGATATGATGAATTACATTGATTATTTTTCTAATAGAAAACCAACTTCACATTCTTATAAACCTAGGTCCCACCACTTAAGGTCCACACTACTTCCCAACATCACTGTACTAAGGTCCAAGCCTTGGGTATTTACAGGACATGCTAAAATTATATCCAAACCACAGCAATATCTTTTATCAGGTTGAGGATGTTATTCTCTACTTTTAATTTGCTGAATTTTTAAAATTATCAATAGATCTTAAATTATTTTCAAATGTTTTTTTATAAACTGATGATCTTTTATTTTTTCTATTGATATGATAAATTACATTGATAGCTTTTCTAATAGCAAACCAACATTCTTGTAATAAATCCCACTTGGTTATGATCTAAGTAATTCACTGTTAAACATGAAAAACTACACTATGATTTTAAAACATCTGAAGGAAACCTCTAACATGAAAGATAAGATCAAAATAAACAGAAAAAAAATAAAGGAACTTGGGGTAAACAATACAATAAGCAGAGAAAACATTTAAGAATATTGATGCCTTCAAAGAGATGACAAGATACTGCACATAAAGAAAGATAATTTTTATTTATTTAGGTACGTAATTTTATGTATGGATATATTTATTTGATACTGGGGATTGACCGGGGTGCTCTACCGGCTGAGCTATAGTCCTCAGCCCTTTTTTATTTTTATTTATTTATTTTTTTTGAGATAGAGTCTCACTAAGTTGCTGGCTGGCCTTAAATTTTCAATCCTCCTGCCTCAACCTCCCAAGTTGCTAGGATTATAGCAACTCCACCTGGTTAACACTGTATACTTTTTAAAGAAACACCAGAAAGAGCTGCTATGATTTTAAAACTCAGGACATAAAAACTCAATGGTGGCAACCTGGAAAGCTGAGGCAGGAGAATCTTAACTTCAAGGCCAGCCTAGGCAACTTAAGTGAGACCCTGTCTTAAAATAAAATACAATAAAGTTCCGGTATGTAGCTCAGCAGAAAAACACCTCTGGGAGGAGGAGGAGGAGGTGGAGGAGGAAGGAAGAAGAAGATTTTAATAGGGTGGGGGAAAAAAACTTCGCAGAAAAAAAAAGAGGGCAAGGACAAAAAGAAGACAATTAGCAGGAGAGGAAAAAAAAAAAGAAAGAAAGAAAATTAAAGTTTAAGCATCTTATTAATAGTAGCTCCTCAAAGAAATTTTGAGGTTGGGCTGGGGCCTCAGGAAGGGAAATTAGTGCAGTTATATTACAAGAACAGTAATTATATTCCTAAATCAAAAGGCCTGAATTTTCACTGCCCACTGAAATGATTTTAAAAGACATATATATATATATATATATATATATATATATATATATATATATATGATATAACGTGCAATTTCTGAGCATTGTAGACAAAGAGCCTAAATCCTCCACTGAGGAAAATATTTTACATATTAAAAACTCAAACTAGAATGGCAAAATTTTCAACGGTAACTCTGAATCTGAACGTCAAAAGACAATAGAGCAATGCTTTTAATATTTTGAAGGAAAATAATTTCCAACACTATATTTAGAATAAGCATATTTTTATACATTCAATAGGTTTACTGGAAATTGTATTCCATGAAAATAAGGAAACAAAGTAGAAGAGACATAAGATCCAGAAATAAGGGACCAAACACACCCTAAGGATAGGGAGATCCCCAGGATAATGGTACAAAGAAATTCCAAGATTGAGGGAGATGTAGAAGGACACAGGCAGCCAGGGCAAGATGGTGAATGAGGAAGTCAGAGGCAGATCCAGACCAAAGGAGCATAGAGAGGGTCTTCCAATGAGGTCAGCTTCCCCAGTGACAAAAGTGCTTGTGTATCCAAGCCGGGGACCCAGACAGCCACATCTGTACTTATGCTCCTAAGGAGGAGATCTGAGAGAAAAACTAAAATGCACATGTGGACATGGGGAACACCAATGAACAGTAGTGAGGAGACCAGGGGCAGAGATAAGGGAAGGAGGAAATTCCAGAGACCATAAAAAGAACAAGCCAAAATTTCCAGGGTCCGGAGTCTCCAGTTTTCTGGTCTTCAGAGAAGTCTGTCTCTGTCACTTTTGCAATAAACTGCTGCTTGCTTGCTGTCTCTGTGTCCTGTTCAGTTCTTTGCTGAATGGAGACAACAAACCCAAGATGCCTAGATGGGCACATGATGAGATCTGTCAGGCCTGTAAAGTAACAAACCCATATTGGAACAGGAGACTGCAAAGTTCTAGTAAAAATATCCCTGCAGGGGAAAAATTGTTTGCCAACTGTACCCAATCTTATTGAAAGAATATTTACATTTCTGGTAGACAATTTGAGGAGATTTAGGTATATAGAAAACTAAACAAGCCAACAAAAGGGGGCAATTATTTACTTTAGGAGGAAAAGAATAGCATGAGAAAATTACTGCTGGATCATAATCATTATAAAGATTGAATACTGACACAAACAGAAATCATAATAATTGCATTAGGAAAATGAGAAGGATATTATTAATAAAACAAAGAGCTTAAGAATTTAAAATAGTGTGTTATTGTGAAAATATTTAAAGACTACATACTACACATCAGGAAGTAAGTGGATCGCAAATACCATTTAACCTGGTATTGGCTCTATAAGGTAGGTTTTGATATTAATTCCAATTTCCTGATGAGAGAGCAAAATTACAGAAAACTGAATCAACTTCCCCAAGATCGGAGGTTTTCAACTGGAGGTGATTTTATTTACTACCCCATCTCCCTAGCTTAGCAACATCCAGAGATCTTTAAAATTGTTACCAGCTGGGGTGGGGGTGCTTCTAACTTTTAGCAGACAGAAACCAGGGACTCTGCTAAACTATCTACCACACATAAGACAGCTTTCTATATGCATTTGACAGCTTTCTACAACAATGAATTATAGGGCACAAAATATCAATTGTGCTGCGGTTAAGAAACAATACCTAAAAATAAAAAGGAATGGCGAGTGACCCAGCAGATTTAAATCCTAACAGCTCTTGACAACTTTACTCTGCCACCTTTCAATAGCAGTTTAAATTTAAGTGCAGTGGCACAGGCCTTAATCCTAGCTTCTCAGGAGGCTGAGGTGAGAGGATTGAGTCCAAGGCCAGCCTGGGAAATTTACCCCCACTCCCACCCCAACCCTATCTCAAACAAAACTAAACTAAACTAAATCAAAAGTGGTTTAAGAATACTATTTAGATGGGTGCATATGCATGCCTATGATCCCAGCTACTTGGGAGATTGGGACAGAAGGATCACAAGTTTGAACTCAGCCTGAGAAACTTACAGAAATCCTATATCAAATAAATACATAAATAAAATTTTAAAAAGGGCTGGGGTTGTGGCTCAGTGATAGATTACCCTGGGTTTAACCACTGGTACTGGGGGTGGGGGGAGATGCAATTTAGAAATAGACAGTAAATATCAGAAGAAAGAGCTTAAAGAATTGGAAGTGATTGCCTTTACCCTGGTAGGGGGAATAAAAAACAATGTACTATTACTGTATTTTGTGGTTTCTGTTGTTTCTGCTGTTCTCTTAAAAGACCTGACGAAGAACTAATTGAGTTACATACAACATGTTTCTTTTTAAAAGTTAAAATAATGGTAAACACTGATATGATAGACTATTTTTAGCTTAATCACCATGTCCTATTTTAAGAGTATTTTTTAAAATGTAATTTGTAAGAGTTATCTCTCAATAAATCTTTATAATGAATGCAGAGATGGGGAAAAAAAGCTCATGGAAAAGATAATATACAAAAAGAAAAAACGTTTGTCTTGATTGACATCTTGCATGTCAAGTTCCAACTTGCAACATAATGAAGCATTTCAGACAGAAAATCCAGAAGATCCAGATTTGTTATGGAAAGCTATTCAGACCTTATAAGCAAACAAAAAATAGCTTTACAAGATAATGATAGATTACCAACTCTATCATTACATATATAGAAACATTCACATTAGAGGAACAATGAAGCTGTTTTTTTTTTTTTAACCCTGAAAGCAAGTAAAATAAGGATGATACTTTTTTACTCTTAATAAATTATTTTAAATTCATAGATACAATTTTTAAAAATTCATATAAAAAATACAAATCTAGTTTAGAAATGCACCTTCAACCTCAATATCTTCTACCACCAACAGGATATTCAGCAAAGAATAGAAAGAGAGAGACCAAATTTATACCGCTGCTACAACAATACATTGAATCCGCAGGTTATCTCACCTTTCACATTCAGACAAAGCAAAAGCCAACTGCAGGAATCTTCCCCATCTCTGTTTCTTACCCCTCATCTTAGTTTTCTTAGGTGTCCTCTCGTGTTTAAATTTCTCTATGAATTCTCTTAATTTCTGACTAGGTCATCTCACATGTTTTAAAAAGCTAAAAGATATCAAAATGTATACAGTAGGAGTTCTTGCACCTGCTACTGTTCACATTCACTGCATTCTTCCTAGTTCCCTATAAATAACCATTTTTTAAGAAATATTTATTTTTTAATTCTAGTTGGACACAATATCTTTTCCTTATTTTTATGTGGTGCTGAGAACTGAACCCAGTGCCTCACGCATGCTAGGCAAGCGCACTACCACTTGAGCCACATCCCCATCCCATAAGTAACCATTTTTAAAAATAAGATCTTCTTGGGGTTAGGATTGTGGCTCAAAGGAAGAGCACTCACCTAGTATGCATGAGGCACTGGGTTCAATCCTCAGCACCACATAAAAATAAAATAAAAGTGTTGTGTCCACCTACAACTAAAAAAAAAAATGTTTTAAAAAAATAACAACTTCTTGATGTTCCTTTATATAAATGTAAGAAATACATTTCATAAAATATATATATTCATATTTTCCATATACTCTTCTATATCTTGTTTTATTTCATATAATGTTTTGGAATAAATTTTAATACACTAGCTGAAGTCTTACCATCTTAGAATTATTAATCATTTAATCATCAAAATATTGCCTATAATAATAGTCATTTAACAGATTTTTACAGTTTCTCAGTTCATACTGAGGAAAAAATATTTTAAAAATCAGGCATATATTTTCTATGTTTTTTAGGATTCTTAAAAAGTTACTAATTAAGTCAACCTAAAGAAAATTTATAGTTTAACAAGTAGTAATTTTGAGTATTGGAGACAAATATTCAACAATATCTCAAAATGTCCTTTGTATAAAAGTAAAAAGGTGTTAATTTCACTCAACTTTGTTATTTTTTCCATAACTTGTTAGTAGTAATTAAGTAAATTTTAAATAATATTAAGCTTTAGCAAAGATTTTTTATATTGCATTTGTATATATATATGCTTATGTATAAACCTGATATAGTCAAAGATCATAAAATAAATGCTAAAAGACTACTTAATAATACTAAAAAAATCAAGTTTTTTTTTTTTTTAGCAAGATTTTAATAGAAGCCAAGGTGCTTAGGATTGTGTAGGTAATGTAACCCTTTCCATACCCCCTGCAACATGAACAACCCAGAGGGAAACTTATTTGAGTAGAGCTCAGAATGTGGGATTTGGTACAGGAGAGAAAGAAAAATGCAGCACATGACAACCATATATCAATATAATCCAGGAATATCCTTTGACCTAGGGCTTCTCAGTGAAGCTGATTTGTCCTAGAACTGTGAAATCAAAGGCAGGTAGGAATTTTTCTGTGGTTTTGCTATGGTAAATGGTCTTTGAATGAATGGTCTTATGCCCTAATTCAAATTACTATTATTTGGGGGGTACATATTAAAAAAGTTGGCCCTTTTACATTTCAAGAGAGAAAGGAAATTTCTGTGTCTTCTATGGATTCAACTCACTTCCCAGAACACAAGGAGAAGAACCAGCAATCAATCAATTTAAGGCATAAAGGCATAACCTTATCTGAAATAAAATCTATAGAAAAAAATAAAATAGCACCTTGATGCCAAAAACAGGAAGAGGAAATATTTACACATGTGTAAAATAATTAGAAGGAATTTGTTATTTATTGAAAAACAACCATAAACAAAGTAAGAAAGTAAAGAACTCCCCTTTTAACCTGCTAAAAGTTGATAAATAATATGTAATTAAAATATGGTAAAAAATTCAGTCAAATATTAATTATATCATCTCTCAAATAAAGAAAATTAATCAAGATTCTTCCATGAAAATTATGTATGCTCACAAGCATGAAAATAAAAACCAAAGAAAAATGGTAAGCATTTTAGTAAAACTCAGTTGACAATGTTTCAGTCACACCAAATATTCCCGGTGGGTGTTCGTTTGCTCTGAACAAATTTGTTATGTTCATTCTTGTTCAGTTTTGCAGAACCAAGGTATCTTTCTTGGAGTAGTTCATCATTATATGTTTGTATGTGCATTTTGGTGAAGATGAAGTATAAGAACTCTAAATTCTTTATATACAACTTCTATCCATGCATCTTTGAACAGAATCTATTGTGGTTTTTTGTTTGTTTGTTTGTTTTTGTTTTGTTTTGTTTTTTGGTACTAAGGATTGACTGCAGGAGCACTTTACCGCTGAGCTACATTGCCAGCCTTCTTTATCTTTTTAAAATTTTTTTGTCTTTACTGAGGTGACATATGAATCAAGTGGTTTGGACAATTGATGTCCAAATAGAAATTTATTTATTTATTGTGGTGCTGGAGATCAAACTCATAGCTTCACACATGCTATCAAGTACCCTACCACTGAGCTACACCCCCAACCCAGGAATTCATTTTTGTTAAAATATCATTTATTATTAGTTGCCAAGAGTAATAGGAATTCTCAGCTGCTTCAAAGTGAATTGATAAACATTTTCCTTTCTTTATTTCTATTTAAAAATTTTTTTTGCCTCAAGAACACATGAAATATTTTACCATTTATCATCTATAAAATGAAAATAATAATAAATTTAAAATTCATCTAGAAAAGAATAGAAAAGCTAAAACTACTCTTAGATATTTTTTAATATTTGCTTTTTTTTAGTTTTCGGTGGACATAACATCTTTGTTTGTATGTGGTGCTGAGGATCAAACCCGGGCTGCACACATGCCAGGTGAGCGCTCAACCGCTTGAGCCACATCTCCAGCCCTACCTTTAGATCTTTTAAAGTAGTAAACAGTTCCCTTTGGGAGGAAGTTATTTAAAAGTCCGAGGCACATTTTCTAATGCATTTTTGTTTACTTTGTCAGAAATACAGAACGAAATTTGTATTATTTTCAAGGACTGAATACCATATTCTTAGGATCAATACATGCTTTTCAGAGAAAAATAAAACCCAAAATACAAAATATAAAATCAAAATATAAAACCCAAAATCAAGCAAGGATTTTTGCATATGTCATGGAAATACAAATTGAAAACTTTAGTTTTACAAACGATATCTGAAATCTAATAAAATAATATCAAATAACTACTTTTATAGGTTCTGTCTTCACTCTCATAACACATTTCTTGTGCCTTAATGAGATTACATTTTACATAGATTAATATATTAATTAGGATGAGACTAAAATAATTGTCTGTGTCATCTAAAAGAACACACCTATACAAATTACATTGGTTGAGAAGAGAGTCAGTGGCCTGACACTGACGACTGTCAAACAGAAATTGAGAGCTAAACTGATAGGCCCTGAAAGACTAGTAATTTGATAGGAAACTTTGTATGGTACTGAAAAATCAATGATACTTTATATAAAATGTAATCTCTTTATAAGATTTTT